GCCTTCTTGTCGCTTTATCTACCAACTTTGTTTTGCTTTTTTACTCTGCTATATATTACCTAATCCAAGAAGGTCATTTTTAGATGGGAATGTACACGAGCTCACTTATTTCAAAATGTGAAAAGTTGGCCTGTTGGTTTAGGGAACGTTCCTTCTTATTCTGCTAAATGAAGCCTTGATCTTCTACCCAAAAGCCCTGGTCTAACAACACTTTTGACAACAACTTTGTGAGATAAGTCAGAATTATCCTTCATATTGTAAGAGGGCCGGAGCGACTGGGCTGAGACAGAGTAGCTTGTCTCAGGCCACCTAATGAGTTTGTGGAAGAGGAGAGATTTAAACAGAGGGCTTCCTAATTCATAGTTCAGAGCCTTAGCTATTGTGTTACACCAGCTATCTGTATCAGTATCACTCCAACGTTGTTGCTATTGTGTGTTTTCAAGTCGTTTCCAACTTATGGTGACCTTAGGTGAATCTATCTTGGGGTTTTCTTGGCAAGTTTCTTCATAAGGAGTTTGCCATTGCCACCCTCTGAGGCTGAGAGAGTGTGACTTGCCCAAGTTCACCCAGTGGGTTTACGTGGCTGGGTAGGAATTCGAACCCTGGTCTCCAGTCCTAGTCCAACACTCAAACCACTACACCATACTGGCTCTCAATATCACTCCATACCCTCCAACATTTAAAAAATAAAAACCAGAACGTAGTTGGCCAGGCAATATCAGAAGCCATCAAGTTGGTAACTGTTATTAATGATAAAGAACATATAAACTAGCAGAGGCTGCAGCAGTTTACTTTGCCTAAGGCTGCTGGGAAGGGCGAGATTCTGTCTCCTCTCCTTTCCTGCTTCTGAGTTAATTGAGTACAAACTACTTTTTCACTTTGAATTCAGTTTTGCAGCAATTTATGTTAGCTGAGTTCAAAGGGCATCCTGATCTTAACAGACTTTTTTTGCTGCTGAATTTGCACAAATACAGCCTGGGTCCATCCCCGCTTCCAGAGCCACTCCTCGCAGCCATTTTCTTAAACCGGAAAACTTCTGGATCCGAAAAGAGCCAGTAGGAGTGCTCCTGGAAACTGGGATGGAACCGGGCTGTATTTGATCAGGATGCCGCCTGAATTAAGATTAAGCTGGATAGAGGTAAACTGATTTAAAAAGTCAAGCGATCAGGATGCCGCCTGAATTAAGATTAAGCTGGATAGAGGTAAACTGATTTAAAAAGTCAAGCGATAAGTTCCTAAGAGGGGGAGATGTGGAAGACTGAACCACTCCAACAGTCTGATTCTGTAAAAGAGAAGACATTTCCATGCTCTGGAGGCAGGGGTGTCACTAGGGAATGGACCACATCAGGTGGCACTATAAGGAGATGATACCACTGCTCCCCAAACATCTATCTTTTGGCAGAAGCAGGATGTAGTGTTCACCTGCATCTTTTTAAAATGCTGGAGTTCAACAGAAGAGATGGTGTGAGTGGAGCGAGGCTCAGTGAGAGGAGAAAGGAGAGGTCTCAGGGTTTATTAAAATAATTAAATTTAAATTTAATTTTTTAAAAAAATTATTCTTTCAAAATTTTCTTTAAAAACACAACATCTCACCAAATTTTCACTTTAACAACATGAATCCATGTCCATGAAAATACATTTTGGCTGTGCATATGATATTGTAATTTAAAGGTATAATTTTAATTTGCTAGTTCTTTATATCCCAGTTATTGCCATGACCAGGGGTAGGCAACCTTTTGGAGCCTTGGGCCAGTCCCCCAAGTTCCTCCTCTCCGGGCACCCCCTGACACCGCATGCGACCCCCCCGAGCGTGGCTGTCGCCGCAGCCACTACCGCCGCCGCGCATGTCGCTATGCCATTTTGTTTTCCAAAATGGCGGCTGCAGTGCGCGTGGCTGCACAGAGGCCAAAACGCGCGGTGGCAGCAGGGGTCCACCTGGGCTGGTAAGTCCGGCGACCTGGGCCGGAACCGGCCCGGGGGCCGTAGGTTGTCGGCCCCTGGTCATGACATTCAGTGGTGTACGGGAATTACGATTTATAAGTAACACAAGTACAAAAAACATTACTAAGGGTTCAGTATGGTGTAGTATAAGAGGAGGTCAATGAGGGGATAATACCATGAGTTACCATACCAGGTGGTGCCAACCCTAGTGATGCCGCTATCTGGAGAAACATACAAAACAAAGTTTGGGGCAAACTGCAAAAACCTATTGGATTGCAATTCAGCTAAGGGAGCTCCCAGTTTAGGCTTTGATTGTGCAATTGCCCTGTCTCGTTCATAGAATTTTACAGCAGAACCTGGCCAAGGAATTTTCAATTTGTAACCTTCTTAAATTTTCCTACGGTTTTTTCCCCCTCCTTTCTTCTAACTGGCAACTGGTTTGTAACAGAGGCAGTATTTTGAACTAACCTGCTAGATTACACACTGCATGTAGGCAGAATTGTGTGTGTGTGTGTGTGTGTGCATGCACACGTGTGTGTCAAGACACCCTTTCTCTTTGTTGGATGAGTAAATTTGTGGGTAGTCTTTACACCCCGAGTGTGTTGATCAGAGTTCTACTTTTATGCACCTTAGCTACACATTCCCTTGCATACTCCATGATGAAGATAAGATGGGCAACCAGCTGTCCAATACAGAGTCTCAGGTGCTGCTCACACTATGAACAGTAAATTAATGAGCTTTTTGCCTATTTTTAGTAACAAGCAGCTGAAGTGCATAAAAAAGGGGGAGCCTCGGTAGCTGCTCAATGCAGGAAGGAGGAAGTGAAAAAAGCCCTTTGCTTTTCTCTGTCCTAGTCTAAGGGCCAGCGCTATGTTTAAGCAGAGTAAGCTACAGTAGCCCTCCGTATCCACGGATTCCTTATCCACGGATTCAACGGTCCATGGTTTAAAAATATTTATATACAGTGAGACCTCGATATCTGCTGGGGTTTGGTTCCAAGATCCCCCATGGATACTAAAATCTGTGGATGCTCAATTCCCATTAAATACAATGGAGTAGTGAATGGCATCCCTTATATAAAATGGAAAATCAAGGTTAGCTTATTGGAATGTATATGTATTTTCAATATTTTCAAGCTGTGAATGCTTGATTCCATGGATAAAAAAAATGTGTGGATACAGAGGGTCAACTGTGTACTGAGGATACAGAGGGCTGACTCGTGTGTGTGTGTGTGTGTGTATACAGAGAGAGAGAGAGAAGCATGGTGTAGTGATTTGAGCTTTGGGCAACAACTCTGGAGACCAGGGTTCAATTCCCAGCTCAGGCATGAAACCCACTGGGAACGTTATCACACGCGGGTCTCAAAGCGGCAAGAAAGCGGTATGGA